TTTTTTGGGACCATTGATGGGGTGTTTAATATTAGGGTGATGGGATTAGTCAAAACATGTCAAAACTGAGGTGCCCACAACCTCCAAGAATTGTGGCACCTCTCTGGCGTCAAGAAAGTTTCATGTTGGAAAGTGTCTCTGTTGGGCCTCTGCAGCACTTTGCCCAGACGCAGTAAGTTGCACCAAGGCACCGAATAAATGGCAAACGCCACGGCATCATCAGGCCTTCGTCTGTGAAGAGATTACCACGGCAGCATCATGTCGGTATCATGTCGCAATGTCTCGAAGCAGCCCAGTCTCCCACCCTTCGATGCTCTGCGTTCCATCTGCAGTTTCAGCTCGAGCTTTGTTGTACCAGCCTGTTGCTTCCAAGATTCACAGCAAATATCGGCGTTGGTCACGTGGCTTTGGGTCAAAATTTGGTACCGCACATATCGGATGCCTCGATCATATACTTCATACATCTTCATACTAATTCAGGTCTGAACACAGCTAAAATCTGCGATCCACCGTTCCAGTCGCTGGGGCTTTTTTTTTTGACCCATAGCTATGAGTCCCAACCTACAAGCAGAGGATGGCTGCATTCCAAGCGCATTGGCGCTAGCCACGTGCTAAGAACCTGCCGAGATCATCATGGGATATCAGGGGATCTGATGCACAGAAGCTGAGCCTGCTGAAATTGCGTGGCATCAAAGGGCTCCTCACCACTGGAAACTGAAAGCCGAAGTTCGTTGACAAAGATGAACACATTTAACGCTTCAAGATGCTTCAAGACATTTCAAAAGTAAAGCCAAAGAGCAACACATGTCCTGCAAAGCAGAGAAACTACTGGAAGTCGTCCCCATCGTGGCAAAGGATGGCAAAGGCCAAGAGACAGCAAGAGACTTTGATTTCCGATTGGTGCTGAACAATCCAGTGGCTGTTGTATTCTAAGTACCTGCGCTCCCTGCAAGCAAATGAGGGGTGCATGAAACTGAAGCATGGCCCTCTCACATCAAACAATTTTCAACATGACCCAAAGAACCCAAATTCAAATAATTCAAAACCAAGCACAATGAAGCCAACTTTTGCGCTAGCCAGTCAGGCAGAGCCGTTGTTTGCTTAAATGCTCAGCAAATCCCACGTCCACCCTTCATTCTTGTTATTCCGAGCAAAAACTGCGCTCACATCTCTCACCCCAACCCTTGCGAATGAGTCTCTGAAAGTGCAACAACCTTGTCACTCATTTACAGTAAATTCTGCTGCTAGTCGCTAACCGCGCTAGCCGTTTAAGACCTTTTCCTTCGGCTTCCGATTCTAGCCCTCAGTTGGCTGCAGAGTTAGAACTTCCAATGGACCAGGTTCAAGTCACCCGTCTATGGTAAGTGCTCTTCTGGCACACAGAAGGACCACCCAACAGTCGATCTCCTCTCAAATCGACTTCCGCCGAAGAAGATTCGCATGGCTTGCTGCGTCAAGGTCCTGCAGTTTCCAGGACATGCTGCGGCAAGGCTGTGCCAAAATTCCGCGGGAACAGAGCAGAACGATCGAAGCAGAATGGCTTAAAAGCATATAAAAGCACTCAAACATACTCAAGCTCTGACTATTATAGGCTTACGATGGCTTATGTTGTCTGACATCTTTCCTTTCTGGCTACAACATACAACATCACAGACCTCCCAATACAAAGTTGGATCAATGGACCGGGCACTGGGTGATTTTCTGCGAAAGGCTTGGAGCTCGGCAGCCTCAAAACCCACTGGTTTTGAACCAGCAGTGGGCGACCAACGTCTGTGCAGCGAGCAGCTTGCGTGAAGCGCTTCAATCCGCTGCGAGATACCACCAGACCGGTTTCTCAACAAAATCTTCAATGATGTTCAATGTTCAATTGCCTCTAGTCAGACTGTACACACAGCAATGGAATGAACCGGATATGTCCCGATCATGTCCCGATCTACTTGAATCTACTTGTGGCTTTTGCTGTCCCATCCGGAGGCAGCTCAAACATGTTATTGGCAGAAATATGCAAAATAGTATCATGATGATCATGGCTGGTGGCTTCTCACAAGAAGGAATTGGATGGAATTGGCCTCCTCTCCCAAGGAGGACAAGGAAAATGATTGGAAATGGTCACGGTGAGGCGATGACGCCTATTCCCCTTGACCAGTCGACTGAGTGGCAAAAAAGCAGGTTTTTAGATGTTCTGAGCTCGGTTTGGTCAAAAAGTCTCGGTGACCAACTCGGAGTCATATTCCATTGAATAGATGTGCTCTGAGGGATTTTGCAAAATCTCTCTGATTCTCGAAGACTCTGGGGCCATATCAATCGGTCGGAGACCCCGGTTGTTGGGGATGTCAGGGTCTGCCCGAGCACGGAGCAGAAACGTCAACATATGTTCGTTGCCAAAAATGGCTGACCAACCCAAAGGCGTTGTGCTCCCATCCCGCATCAGTCTCATCGCCAGACTTGGCTTGCCCCAATGGACTCGGCAGTAGGCCCTACTCATCAATTCAATGCTTCTCATAGCGCCCTCTGGATGCAGCACTTGGTTCACGTCTGCTCTGTTCTCCAGCAATAACTGCGCTGACTTCAAGTCGTTGCTGGGGTCAGCCCGCACGGTATTTTGTGTAAGGGGGTGCAACGGTGACATTGATGCAAAACCTCGAGAACCACCATGCACATTTGCTCGGAGATCGAGCAGTGCCTGCAAAACTTCGCATGGAGCATAGAGGGATGCGACACCTTGGAGTGGCAAAAATCGCGAGATGTGCCCGCCTGGGCAGTTGACATCTGCCTTGTACTGAACTAACAGCCTCACGGCTTCTGCAGAACGGCAGTAGGCCAGAGGAGGGGCTACATTCGAAGTGGTGTCATTGGGGTCAGCTCCGAGTTGTAACAGCGTCTCCAAAATCTCCAGGTTGTTGCTTTTGAACCACACGGCCAAGTGCAAGGGTGCACAGTCTGTAGCGTTGTTCACCTCTGGCAGCAACGGTGCACGGCTGTGCATGGAGGCCTTTTGACGAACGAGGCTGCGCACCAGTTCAGAATCTCCCGTCAAAGTGGCGCAGGCCACAGGACTGAGCGAACCACCTTGGGAAACTTTGGAAAATACAAACTCCTTCAGGAAGTCTTCGACACTGCGTGTCCGAGCAGCTTTTCCGGTCATGTCTTCAAATATGGAGAGGTACAAGCGGTAGCTGGTCAAATTTAGTTTCTTCTTCAGCTGGGATATATGGTGCCTGAAAGCCTTTTCAATGATTGAGCTACACGACTCTCTGTCCAGCTTCTCTGAGAACTCACCGGAGTATACTGGGTACCTATGCCATACAGGTGATGACAATTCTGCCAACAAAGGACCCTTGGCTACAACAATGGGCATCTTTGATGAGAGGAAATGGCATCAAAGTTCTGTACGACACCACCCCCTTCCCAGCCAACTGTAGATGTTGTTGTTGTTGTTGTTGTTGTTCCATGAGACGTCAACCTGCACGACAAAGTCGCAGTTAAGACGCCAATGACATCCAGCTAGTTCCGAATCTGCCAGGCCTCATTTCGATAAACGAAGTGAGGTAAGCAAAGGTCCCACCATGCGCGTGTCACCACGCTTTGTCGCTGCACAGCAGTAGATGCCCACCGCAGAGCATCTTGTCGTTCCTGCGCCACTGTGTAGTATCCAGCCCCATGATCATGCGCCAGTTGTTTCGCTGTCGAATCGGCAGCTGCATTCATGGCCCTGCAGAGATCAGGGGAAGGATATCCTGCCGGGGGTGTCCATCCCGGGCGTTTGCCATGCCCAGCCAACTGTAGAAGTTGCATTCTGTTCCCTTGTCGCAGTGGGTGGATTGAGGCGTCAAGGCAACAAACATGTTGCACCGCTGAACATAGCCTGGAATGCTATAGACGTAAAGAGACTGTTCCTCTGCAAGTCCATGTCCACGTAGGTACCCATCCAATTTCTGAGGGACCGAGAAGTAGTCGAGCCAAATGTATGCACTTGCAATCCAGTTGAATTCTTTCTCACTCAATACGCCTTTCATAAATTGAGACGTACAATCTTCCCCGAGCTTGAGCTTCCGTGCAATCAGGTTGCTAAGAATGCCTTGAAGCACTTGCAGTTGCTCTCCATTCGGATCAGGATGTTTAAAGCCTAGCCACTGGTGCGAGACGAAGATCGCAAACATCTTGGGGCTCCACTTGACCAGAAGACGTTGAGACTTCAACACTTGATGTGGCAAGAGCCTCGGAGTCATCCGAAGCACATCCTCCACCTTCAAGAGCCACATGGGGGCCTCTACATCTTGCTGGTACTCGGAAAGCCCATCATCCGGGCGGCTTGAACAAGAGCCCATGGCCTTGGAGAGTTGCAAAAATCTACAACCTTTACTGCTTCAGTGCCGTTGTTGGATGTTGTTGGTATATGTATATGTATATTAATATGTATATGTGGGTTACAAGTTAGCACACTTCGGTGCTGGTAAAAGTGACTTGGTTGCAAGTCAGAGAGTCCCGATGCTGAGGCAACTTGCGGAAACCGCAAGGTTTGATCACTTTCAGAAACATGTCCTGCCTTGAGACTCAAGATGCATCCAAGACACCCACCAAACCGGACCAAACCTACACAACCTGCTGGTATATGCTGGGATACGCCTTTTGGCAGCCCCTTCGGCAGAACCGAAACAAGCGAGTCAGCAGAGTCTGTCACCGTGATGAGGCCCTCTCACATCAAACAAGTTTCAGCATCACCCAAAGAACACGAATTCAAAACCAAACACAATGAAGCCAACTTTTGTGCTAGCCAGTCAGGCAGAGCCGTTGTTTGCTTAAATGCTCAGCAAATCCCACGTCCACCCTTCATTCTTGTTATTCCGAGCAAAAACTGCGCTCACATCTCTCACCCCAACCGTTGCGAATGAGTCTCTGAAAGTGCAACAACCTTGTCACTCATTTACAGTAAATTCTGCTGCTAGTCGCTAACCGCGCTAGCCATTTAAGACCTTTTCCTTCGGCTTCCGATTCTAGCCCTCAGTTGGCTGCAGAGTTTGAACTTCTAATGGACCAGGTTCAAGTCACCCGTCTATGGTAGGTGCTCTTCTGGCACACAGAAGGACCAACCAACAGTCGATCTCCTCTCAAATCGACTTCCGCCGAAGAAGATTCGCATGGCTTGCTGCGTCAAGGTCCTGCAGGATCTGAGGGAAAGGGCCCTGGTCTGAGAGTTTCTAGAACATAATGCGGCAAGGCTGTGACAATATTCCGCGGGAACAGCGCAGAACGATCAAAGAAGCAGAATGGCATAAAAGCACTCAAACAAACTCTAGCTCTGACTAGGTTTATCTTGTCTGTTATCTCTTGTTTCTGGCTACACCATCATACAACACCCTACAGCTGCTAAGCACCCACAAGCGACTTGAGGCCTCTTTGGAAGTTTGCGGAGTCAAGCCAGGTAGTTGGAAGCCTTTGCCTGGCCAACAGTTGGACGGCAAGGCAGAGACTGTCACCCATGTCAATTGTCTGGAATATATGTATAACGTATTGCAATCATTCACTAATCTGACATAAGGGAGTTTAGGGGAAGCGAGGTTGGGAATGATTCTGAATCATTCTCCTTCCTAATCATCATCTACCAGCCAGGCATCGTGATAGTTTCAACGTTTCAACATGTTTCAACCAGTTTTGCATCAGCACCTGGCTCATGCAGTGTACTAGGCATCCCATGCGATGCAGAACGGCCTGGCAGTCCAGGATGTTCCAGGTATGTGGAGATCATTGAACGACATGCATTAAATGACCGAGCCATCGGAAGTATCAATTGACAATATATGACAATATTATCTTCAATATTGATATAATATCTCAATAGTATGATATTAACTATCATCATCATCATCATCATCATCATCATCATCATCATCATCATCATCATCTATAATAAGCTTACCTAGCCTATATTTTAATATTATCTTATCATATCTTATCCTTGTCGAAAACTTGAAGATCTTGAAAAATGCAAAATCTGCCAAATAGAATCAAATAGCATAGGTACAGTAAACAGATGTAAAAACAGTATGTCATGGCAAGGCACAAAGATACGTACGTGCCCGCGCGGGACTTGCCTCCAACTTCGTTGCCACTGGATGCAGGAACCTCAGGAAACAAGAGGAGGTTCAGGCATTGGGAACCTGGAACAAATCTGATCTTTCCTAGACTTTCAGCATGTGCACTCATGACTGTACTTTGATTTCAGCTTGGCACGAGTCTCTCCACACTGCTGGAACCTCCGGGAAGGCGTTTGGTGGATGCGTTTGGCAGGGGAACATGAGGAAACAGTCATCTTGTGTCCCACTTGGAACCAATGAAATCACGACATGGCCGGAGATGGGAGGAGCTTTGTTCATTTTGAAGTCTGAGTCCCAAATTCCGCCATTTGATAGAGTCTATCATGGTCTATCAATTTCTATTCTATCAGGCTTGGATTTGGATGGATTTGGGATCTCCCGTGTCAACGAGGTGTTATGATTTTTTGTGAGTGGCAGACTCAGTTCCAATGTTGAGCCATGTCAATGCTTTCTGTGTCCCAATCCACAGCCATCCTGTTTATATAAAGCCCCTCCCCCTTACCAGTAGTAGACTTGATCAATTTCTTGTTTTGACCCAGCTCATCTACATCCCAGACTCCACTTTTTTCGGGTATCTCTGAGCTTCAATCCGAGCAATCCAAATCTGGGGTCTGAGCAACGCCAACTTAAAATCTCCTTCACCAAAGTCATCGGATTGGATGGATTGGGAGCTTGCAATGACACTGCCTTTGGCCCAACCATTCCACTTGCCCCGTCTTCGTTCCGTGACAATGGCCGTATCTCCCTTATGAAGCTTGACAAGCTGACGAAATCGCTGATGACTTTGATCAGGAAGGAAATTATGCAGCACCAGCCATGAGCAAACAGCATCACTGGAAAGAAGTTTGGCCTGTTTATCCGACGCCGTATGAGCCAAAAACGTCACTTCTGAAAACTTGTCGTCATGCTCATCCACCACCTCCACCACCTGTTTCAGGCAAATAAAATCTTGAACTCTGCACGTTAGGAAATCGACTTTGTCTGGCTGCGGGCCAACTGGCACCAAACACTTCGTCCAGACTCCTTTGCCTTCAAACAGCATGGCTACAACCTCTTGCAGTGGCAGGGAGGAAGCCCAAAGACTGTCTCGACTGTCTGAGTTCTGTACTGCCCGTCCAGACACGAAGTCTTCCCAGGGTGCCAAATCCTCCTGAAGCTCTGGCCTGGGGCACCGTCCAGCCATCACTTCATGCAGGTCTTCCAAGCGCTGTCCAACTTCAAGGCGCAGCAAATGCAGCAGGATCTGAAATTCCACTGCTTTGTCTGGAATGCCACGCAGAGGTGGTTCATCATGACGACTGTGATGCCTCCAAAAAGTGATGTTCCTGTCTTCACTGCGTGCGATGATTTCGCTGATCTGCACACTCTTCAGTGGAAATAGCCGTGTGGTAGCAGCGATGTGGTAGTCTTTGTCCACATCATAGCCGAGGACACAAGCAGTCTTTCCCGCAAAGGGGGCCAGAGAACCTTTTAACGAACTGTCGATTTGAACGATGCTGCCAGACAAATCTGCTTTCTCTTGCAGCCACAATTTGGTGGAGAGCAGTGGCGCCCACATGCCCCCATAGGTGACCAAGTGCAAGGTCACGCCGTTGTCCCCAAATCGAAGCGCCTTCTCGCAAAACTGCAGAAGCAAAATTTGCAGTCTTAAGAGCTTTGCAAAAAAGTAGAGGTCGACGGAGTCCAATGGCATCCGAACAACGAAAACGCCTTGAACAGGTTCCTCTAGTGTGTTTGCCCACCTACGTTGGTCGCTAAAGGACTGGCTGCAAAATGTCAAGCAATACAAGTACCAGTTCCAATGTTCCAAAACCCGATCCACTTTTCGATATTTGGTTTGATGAAAAAAAGAGAGACGACACTTCAGCTTTTCTTCTGCGACAGATCTGCATTGTTCTTTTGACAGTGAGCCGTAAGCTTGGACCAGCAATCTTCGCATTTTTTTTTCAACATCTGTCACTTCACCAGACCCCTGCGCTTCTTGGAAAGCCATAGCCAAGCTCTGCCAGGAGCAGCCCGGAGGGCTGGTGTCTCTGACTTGTCGATGAAATGAGGCTGACGTCCATTCCTTAAGAATATCGAACAAGACTCGTCGACCTCCTTCTCCATTTTTTTCAAAATTCTCCAGCTCCATTGGGCTACAGGCTCATTGAAAAACTCGAGCCAAACAGCTTTCCACAAACCTTCGGCATACCAGCCCTAACATCCCTAACCAGCATGAGTCTCAGTATCGGTTTCTGATTGGTTTTCTAAGGCGATTTCATATGTTTGATGAGTTTGATGTCTTTTTTTCAATGTTCTTCCTGCACAGCATCTACATCAAACCTGCTACCCGCTAGGTATCCCCTGGTAGCTGGCAATGAAGTACTGTGCCACAGCTATAGTCCCAGGAGTTTGAAGTCTGGAAGACACCAAGGATTTCAACCGGAACGCTGCCTTATATACAAAACCTGCAGCCGAAATCCCGTGGGAGCTCTGAGCGTTTCTATCCAAAAGTATCCAAAAGTCAAAATATGTTTCAACCTGTTGTACTCATCTTGCACAGTTAGTAGCTTGCCCAACAATATCTTGGAACTTTGATGGGTAAAATCACCATTGGAAACAACATATGGGTTGGAGAACAAAAATCGATTCCCACTGCACTTTCTGGCCTGACATGAAGGAACCAGCTGCTTCGGTGAATGGCAAGTTCCTGACTCAGGACTCGTTCTTGTCAGCTCCATCATTGCTCCCATAGTTCCCAAATAATCCAAATAACAAGGAAAATAAGGAAAATCCATGATGAAAAACTCGAAATAGCTGGTGCATGGTGGTCCTGTTGACCTTCTCAAAGTGTGATACAACCTGGGCAATTCAGGGCTTCCAAAATTGGGAGGACTGTCGGACCGCTGTCGCAAAAAATGGGTCGGGACTTTGAGGATGCTACATCTCGAACGCTCCGACGCCTTCGCGCATCAATGTCCTGGCAGAAATCACCTGAATTGAAAAGAACTCAAAACCGAAGCACAAAGCTTTTTGTGCCTCTTCTTCAGCTGGTCCAACTTCTATGTGATGGACTGCGTCCTGGTATGTTGCTTTCAAGCTGCAAAACTATGTGGCAGGTGTCTCCTCAAAAAATATTCGACATTTTAATAGCAGAACTCACCAGGTCGGCATGACTTTGAGTTCACTGATCTCACTGTGAAATTGGTGCTAGTATGTCGTTGAAATTATATAGATTTAATGTGATTTAATATGATTTTACGTATATGGATTGGTACGTTTCAAGAAAATCATTGGTGAAATCATGTAAAAATCATGTAAACAGTTGCTGGATACAGGATCTGCGCGAAACACAAGGCCAACACGTTCACCCTGCATAAAGCACTGCCGAAATGCCGCGTCCTCGTGCAGTTGCATGACTCTTGCCCTTGCAGGCGTCACTTCGGAAATGCTTGCCTTGTGGCCACACTTGGCCAGGTCCATGTTCCACTTGGAGTGACAATTGGAATGATTGAAATGGACCGGAGTTAAAGGAATCGAAGGACATCTCAAATGAAAACTGGTGGGTTTCAACCTCCCCTGGACAACACGAGCACTTTGGATTACTTTGAATTATCATTCCAAAAAAAGGCTGAACAACCCTACAATGATTGAACCCCCTAGAAACTGCCAGATCTCAGGATCACACAGTGAAGAGTGCTTCGGGAGCTGATGCAAACACATTGCTTCCTCTCTGGTGCTCGTGAGCACTGCGCTTCACCTGCGCTGAAAGCCACGGAGATTCATTCTGGTCATTGGAAGACACCACCCAGAATGGCCAAGAGGCAGCTTGCTGTTGCTGGGAGCAACAAGTCTAGACTGCTGCAAGGCAGCAGCTCTTTCTCTCACACCAGCTGCCATTTTTTGCACTGCGCACAAAGTCTAACCTCTTCCTTGCCCAGAACGGAATGGTTTGTAAATTCTCTGGTGGAATATGCCAGACCATCCGGATAAAGCAGGAGAGTTTGTTAATGAATTCATTCAGCTGTCAGTATCTTGAAGTACCTTTTCCTCAAGCTCCTCAACACAGGACATGAATCTGACGCATGGATGTCCTCACGTTGGTCTGTTCTACCATTCTCTCTCACGTGCCTGAGCGCCGGACAAATTTTTTGGTAGGTGATGGAGGTCTCAAATCCAAATGCTTCCAGATGGTCTCTTTCCCAAGTGGGGTATTCCAAACTCCCTCGTCCAGGACGGGCTCTGTCCGCATCCTTGCCCTTGGCGCAATTTGGCAATGGAATTTTCGTAGTGCAGTGACACATGTTATGGGTATACCATGGTATACCGGTATACCTCTTACAGTATGTAATCACCATATCTATATATTATATAACTATGTGGATATGGGGCCCTTACAACTACGGTTATGTTGATGTTATATGTATATCTTGGCAATGGCCAAAGATGCAACAAGCTGGACTCAATGCTGAGTTGTCGACTCATCTCCAATGACAAGCTCTGTGTCGTGATATTGTTGTAAACTTGGACGGTGACTCACCTGTAGCAAAAACGTGTAAAAACGGCACCAAGAAACGGTTCCAAAGAATGCGTTGCACAGCAGTAATTCGGAAAAACATGGCACTCATGCGTCATGCATGCAGCGCTTGCATGTGCTTGCAAGAAAGACGTTGGGATCGAGTTGCAGATGCCACCGCCAGCCTTGCTTGGCAATTGTGGAATGTGGGCAGAAATGATGCATCAACATCATCAACACTACCTGACGATTGGAGGCAAAAGCTGACGGTAAAGCCCAGGAGCAATGTACCACGCTGCAATTCTTTTCGCAATTCCTGATGACAGGTTTGCAAATCATTTTTGTTCAATCAGCTGATGCTAAGAACGGCAATGGAAATGGATTGTGATAGTTCCCAAAATATTGGATAGTATAACATAGTATAACCCCATACAAATAATCATCAACCAGCATGGGTTTAGCCACTGCACTCGGATCTGTTGCGGCCAGGTCACTCCATAGAGTGCAGCCTCTACGCTCATCTCCACAGCGCTGGTGCCCTCATCCTTAAAGGCAGCAGTTGTCCGAATTTATGCGTACACCATCCTGTCATCATGACTTGTATGACTTGAAAATACAAGAAACTCATGGCCCATCCCTACAATGTATATATGTATACTCACTTATCTGACTTTATCGTGGCACACGTCACGACACAGTCAGCAAACAGTCAGAGAAAGTCAAGAACCTGTCTTGCAGTTCTTTCACTCTCTCAATGATTTCTCAATGTTTTTCCATGTTCTTTTGGGGATCGCACATTGAATCCACTCTGAGGCGGAAACCACGACTGTGATGACTCCGGTGTTTGGAAGCTCACCTCAAGTGGAGCCAGCAGCAGACTGCCAGGAGAGTCTTTGGGAATATGGGAATTGTTATCTCAAAGAATTTGGGCAGGATTCACTGCTTCCGTGACACCTCCATGATCTACTTAGATTATCTACTTATCAACATTTGGGGGCGGTCATATATGATCATATATGATCATATAAGATCATATAAGATCATATAAGATCATGGGCTATCCATGGCTATCCCATCTATCCCCAGTCACCATAGCTTTCCATAGTCCTCCAAGGACTTGGATGGGGCTAGTGCAGCAAGGATGCCGCAGAGAGCCGAGGCTTGTTGCAAGTCTCCCAAGCCTCTGAGCGCCGGAGGACTACTCGGACTCTGGTGTAGGGAAACGGCAACAAGTTGTTTAATCATAGTAATCATAGAAATAATCATAGTAATTCGTAATAACCATAGTAGTAATGATCATAGTAATAATCATAATAAATCATGGCACTGAAGAATGGTTGGTAACAATATGTACAATAATCATGCTGATAACTATATATCATCTGACGTTTATGTTTTTTATTGTGATGATAACTATTGATATCATGATATATTGGTATGTGCCATATGTTATGCCTGTGTGTTTTTATCAATTGTGTTTGACCACCTAATTCTGGTAGTATTTTTTTGAGCTATGGCCATGACGATCATCTCAGATTAAACATTCAGTGGTTCATCATCATTTGAATACTTCCCAATTTTCATCGATTCATGTCATCCGCCACAATTTGTGGTGCTAAAACACCCATGTTGAGATAATCCCATGCTGCCCAAGGTTCTTAGTCCAGCCTGACGCGATAAGCGACCCAGCCTCAGAACTCGGCACAAACTTAGTTGGATCTTAGTTGGGTGCTCCATGTTTTAAAGCAGATTCATACTTGGATGGTTAATTAATCTTAGCAATCTTAGCATATCTTAGCTAATCTTAAACTCGGTTCAAGTAAATTGATGGAGGTGCCGTTGTTGGGTCCAAATTTACCAGCTTGGTTTGAGTCCTTCCCCGGGTAACTTCCCATTTTGAGTCCTCACTTTCCAGTGCAATCATCACAGTGCAACCAAGCGACTCGGGCGCGAGCTCCTTTTGGCCCGCCTTCCACAGCTCGTTGCCCAGGCTGCGTCCGAAACGTGGCGTGGGATGATGGCCGGGACCTGCCGAAGGTCGCAAACCACAACTGGGATGGAGCTGTTGAAACCCATGGAAAATTACACCGGCATAGACCCCAGATAGAAAAGGTTGGAACTGATGGTTCCCAACGTGGGAACCAAAGGTTACCATGGCAAGGAACTGCCGGTTCCCAGACCTTGAAACTTACGGTTCCCAACCTGCAAACCAGAGGTTGCCATTGCAAGGAATTGCCGGTTCCCAGAAGTTAGTTTTCGAAGCTAAGCGGCTTTCATTGTAAGGAATTGCGGGTTCCCAAAGTTTGAAACTCATGGTTCCAGACCTGAAAAAGCACACGTTACCAGTGGAAGGATCTGTTGATTGCAAAAAGTTAGACCTCATGGTTCTTAATGTTGTTTTGTTTTGTTTACTGAGCCGGTAACAGAAGCCTGCACAGCACCTTTGCCAGACTTCGCCACTGCAGTCTGGACAGCACCCTGCACAGCACCCTGCACAGCACCTTTGCCACCGCAGTCTGCACAGCACCCTGCACAGCACCCTCCACAGCACCCTGCACAGCACCCTGCACCTGCACAGCACCTTTGCCAGACTTCGCCACCGCAGTCTGGACAGCCCTGCACAGCACCCTGCACAGCACCCTGCACAGCACCTTTGCCAGACTTCGCAACCGCAGTCTGGACAGCCCTGCACAGCACCCTGCACAGCACCCTGCACAGCACCTTTGCCAGACTTCGCCACCGCACTCTGGACAACACCCTGCACAGCACCCTGCACAATACCTTTGCCAGACTTCGCCACCGCAGTCTGGACAGCACCCTGCACAGCACCCTGCACAGCACCCTGCACAGCACCCTGCTCAAAAGTTCGCCACCGAGGACCTCACCTTTGAGAAGTAAGAACCCCTATAGCTTGCCAGCTATCTGGGGAAAAATCAAAAACATCAATCGCACACCTACTCCTACCCTGAATCTGATTCCCGTAAGACAACAATTCCAAACTCAGATTTGCAGTCCTGTTGGTCTATGCTTGATAAGCATGGTTACGACAGATGTAACAATCGCGTAAACTCCAGCTACGTGTGGTTTGCTGACCGGAAACGCACATGTTATTTGTCCTATATATATACTTATCACACGTGTCAGCAAGGAAACAAACCGCACCTGTCAGGCGCTGAAAAAAAAATACGCCAAAGTCTACCAGCATCTGCCACTGCTTAGCATACACTCCGGGAGGGTTAGCATACACTCTGGCAGGGTTAGCATACAATTGGGAAGGGTTAGCATACACTCGGGAAGGGTAAGCATACACTCTGGCAGGGTTAGCATACACTCCGGGAGGGTTAGCATACATTCAGGCAGGGTTAGCATACACTACGGGAGGGTTAGCATACACTGGCAGGGTTAGCATACATTCAGGCAGGGTTAGCATACACTCTGGCAGGGTTAGCATACATTCAGGCAGGGTTAGCATACACTCGGGAAGGGTAAGCATACACTCTGGCAGGGTTAGCATACACTCCGGGAGGGTTAGCATACACTCGGGAAGGGTAAGCATACACTCTGGTAGGGTTAGCATACATTCAGGCAGGGTTAGCGTACACTCTGCAAGGGTAAGCATACACTCTGGCAGAGTTAGCATACATTCAGGCAGGGTTAGCATACACTCAGGACTCAGGAAGGGTAAGCATACACTCCGGCAGGGTTAGCCAGCCGCTGCATGCCTGAAGATATATACTAGTGGCCAAAATGATTCAAAATGTACCAGTCACAGGCACCGCACAAAAATATATATATATATATATGTTTGGCACTTTTACCTATCTATGACACTTGCATGCTATTGTCGCAAACGTATCCCTGTGTTTGTCATGGTTCTACATATTCTGTCAATGTTCTCAATATCTTGCCAAGGTTCCTAAAATCATTCCATGGTTATACTGAACCTTCGGACTTTCACATTCTCACTAGCCCAAAAATCATTGTGTCCAGTGGGCACCTGCGTTAAGAAATCATTACAGTAAGTCACATTCTCACTAGCCCAAAGATCATTGTGTCCAGTTGGCATGTGCCCGAAGTAGAGAGGTAGTCATTATGTCTAGTTGGCATGTACCTGAAGTAGAGAAGTTTAAGTCCAGTCGGAATGTGCCAGAAGCAGTCCTTAAGTATAAGTTGATTGTGTCCAGTTGGCATGTGCCTGAAGTAGTCCATAAGTAGAAATTCATTGTGTGCAGTTGGCATGTGCCTGAAGTAGTAGAAGTTCAGCGTGTCCAGTTGGCATGCTTCTGCAGTAGAGAAGAAGCTCAGAAGATCACTATGTCTAGTTGGCATGTGCTTGAAGTAGAGAAGTAGCTCAAATGATCGTTAAGTCTAGTGGGAGTAGAGAAGACTGGAGCAGAGTAGAGTGGGAGTAAAATAGAGTCGAGTGATACTAGAGGTCCAGGTAGAGTAGAGGTACAGTAGAGGTAGGGTAGAGGTAGAATTAGTCAGACTAGAGTAGAATAGAGTAGAGTAGTGTAGGGTAGAGTAGACTAGACTAGAACAGAGCAGAGTAGAGCAGCGTAGAGCAGAGTAAAGTGAAGAGGAGAAAGGTGGTGCTTTTGCGTCACGTGTTGCGATTCTTATTGTCTTTTGCAAGTCACTGTTGGCAGATTGCATTGTTACGTCAATTTGAATGTTAGGATTTGCAATGCAAGAAACATTGTGCTTTTTCGGGTAAACAGACCTTCGGCTGCGGAGAGTTGTTGGCTCGCTTGCGCGACGGGTGCAGGCTCCCTCGGGTGCGGGCTCCCTCGGTATCTCGAACTGCGCTGGCACTGGAACTGAGGCTTCCAGCTGACATTTTTTCTTTCTTTGTTGATGCTGTGCTATGGTGTTTTCCACTTCAAGGTTTGCAGATCGCAGTGGAGTGGCTGCGGCAAGGTACGTATCAAGGTACTTGTTCTTGACTAATGTGTTGCGATTGCATCGTGTTTTGCAACTCTCACTGTTGGCAGATCGCAGTGGAACTGCTACATTCAAGATGTGATTTGAATGCTACGATTTGCACTAAACATAGTGATTTTTTGGGTGAAGGAGATTCCGTTGCGGAGAAAAGTTGGCTCGATAGTGTTTTTGTGCCTTTTGTGCAACATGCTTTGGGGAGTGCCTTGGCCTCTTTGTCTGTGGAGGCCAGAAACTATTTCTTACATAAACCCAATTTACAGAAACTATTTTTTTAATAAACCCAATTTGCAGAAACTATGTCTTAAATAACCCCATTTACAGAAACTATTTCCTAAATAAATCCAATTTTAGGAAACTTTTGAAAAAATATCCAATAAATTATATTTTAATAAAAAACTAAAGAATGCAAGTTAGGCCTTCTAGGGATTGGTTTGAAACGGTTTGAAACGGTTTGAAACGGTTTGAAACGGTTTGAAACGGTTTGAAACGGTTTGAAACGGTTTGAAACGGTTTGAAACGGTTTGAAACGGTTTGAAACGGTTTCGGGTTATTACGTAGTAAGTAGCGGGAAACGGTTTGAAACGGTTTCGGACTATTTGCTAAATAGCCATTCTCAGAAACTATTTGAAACGATTTGAAACTATTTGAAACTATTAGCAATTTTTGCCAAGGTGAATTAGCAAATAGTAGGAAACGGTTTCGGACGGCTTCGGACTATTACCTAGCAAATAGCGGGAAACCGTTTGAAACGGTTTCTGTGATACACTTACTTTGCCTTAACACAACAACGAAAACAAAATACTAATAAAGAAAAATAAAACCTAAGTTGACAAATATAGACATACATCATGAAATATTGAAATTCTTTAGGGATTGAAAAGTAAGAAAGAAACAGTGACTGATTCTGAGATGAGGAGTCAAAGAACATAGAACGAAAGAGAACGAAGAATGCCTGCACCAACAGCCTGGCAGCCTCTCTCTTGGTGAGAACATGGCTCACTTGTCTGGGGCAATCTCTGGACTTCAAGTGATTGACTGCTATCCTTGTCCAATGGTTGGGATTGGAAAAAAGCAATCCGGGTTTTGTAAATGGTTACTGGGTTTGATTAAGATTTTTTTTCCTAGGATTTAAGACATAGTTTCTAGGATTTAAGAAATAATTTCCAGGATTTAATAAGGAGTTTCTGGGATTTAGGAAAAAGTTTCTAGGATTTAAGAAATAGTTTCTGGGATATAAGAAATAAAGTTTCGAGAATTTAAGAAATAGCTTCCAGGATTTAGGAAATAGTTTCTGGATGTTTCTGGGATTTAAGAAATAGTTTCCTTTCATACTTGCATCTCAGGAGGGTTAAGCTGGTAGGCTCCCGAAGAAACCGGACTCCCCAGGCTCCCCCGACAGACCTGGACAAATAGAGAAAAGTTCAGGCACACACCAGTCCGGACTTTTGGGGGAAACCCCCAGCTCGGGTATCCTCTGAGGTGTCTAAAATGCCATGTGGCAAGGGCCTGCTAACAACATCCCCCAACTCACCCACAAAGGCTATCAGCCACATGGTTTTGTTTGGGGGACATATGTTTTTGGATCCCACAACTTGTGGGTATCGCGTCTGGAAGTATTCACAGCGTTGTATGGTGCATTTGGCAAAAAACTGCATTGGGACAGGGTATGTGTTTATGTTGCTGTTTGATACACCCTTTCCTGGATTGAAACAGCATTACAACTGGTACGGCACGATAGGACTACCAATTGGATTCTAGATGGTTTCAAGTTTCAAGCATCAACAGTTTCAGTGTGGTGAACCATGGGTGAAAGAGGCTCTCGTACTATTAAACTGGCATGTGCGGTAAAGACATTAGTTCTTTCTCACCACAAACTACCATTGGCAAATGCGTGTTCCAAGATTGACCAGGTTTGCCCTGACAACATGGTCAATAACAACTTTTATTTGCAAACATTACCCCTTTGATTCAAGTAATGGTTCCTGGAAATCAGCATGATTTAGCAAATGGTTTCTACATTTTCTACTTTACTTGAAAAAAGGTTTCTACATATCTTGCTTATTTCGCAAATTGTTTCTAGTATTTAGCAACTGGTTTCTACATCTGAATTATCCTCTGGTTCATCTTCGGGTAAATTTTCAGTTGTCAACTTTTCTTCCTTCATCCTCTTCCGTGGTCTATGGCGTTTTCTCTTCCTGCGTGAGTGCACTACTTCTGCTATGGAAGGTTGTATTGGTACTGCAGGTTCTTGCTTTTCAGCGGATCTTTGGTGCACTAATTCCGCTCTTGAGGGTTGTGCTCTGGCTTCCGGTTGTCGATCCTCAGCTGATGTTTGTTGCCGCTGCCTTTCCACTCCCTGCACACCAAGGACGCTCGATGGTCTTGCCGAACTAGCTCGGCCCGCAGGCTCCACTGTCGGCTGTCGGTCGACTGTGGTGCTCTGGAAGGAGTTGCAGGAGTTGCCATTTGCGCACAATATCTGGTACCCGTTGGGTAACCTAATATAAAGTAAACTAACTTTGACTTGATCTTTCATGTTATCCTTGCTAATTGCTTGCAATGTCCGGTACCCGTTGGGCAGCCTAAGACAAAGGATACTAACTTTGAATTGCTCTGTCATGTTAACCTATTTGATTGTTTCAATTGGACTCCACATTTCTTATCCTACAATTTTGTTTATAAAAAATACAGAGAGTTCTCATCAGTTCTGCGAACAAGTAAGAGATTCATACTACATACTTTGCTGAAATCCTATGTCCTTCAGACAACATCTCCTTTTCTATATCAGAGTTTCCTATGCTTGAGAAAAAAACAAAGGATGTAGACGGCAATGAGCAATGACATAGAGAAAGATAATCAGTTAACATGCACTGCGCTCAGCCCGTTGTCCAAACAAACGCACTAAGTAAAATCATGAATCGACCGCTTAGCGATGAAGCTACTTGTTGGTCGCTGTTTCTGTCCTTGGAAAAAATATGAACCGCTATTTACAAATAGAAGGATATTAGTCGGCGTAGCAGAACTTTATAGAGAAAAATAAGATGGGAATAGAAAACAGCGATCTAAGGATTGCAGGAGAGTAGACGCAGTCACACAAAATTGTAGGTAAAAGGAAGATGGGAATTGAGAACTACTATTTCAGACTTGAAGGAGATGGGGGCAGGAAGGAATAGATAGTACACTGATCAAACCTAACAAGCTGCTCTCTCACGCAAATGCAAACTGCAGGCATGCTATGTTTTTATTTTTCTGCGTACGTCTTCTGTCACCATTAGATTGTTTGTCAAATCCTGTACTAGGAAGTTCCATGGCAAGCTCCCCTTGGTTGCTGTTGAAAGCGAAGCTCACATCAATGAGGAAAAAAAACAAGATATGCGAAATATCTATAGTGTCCGTGCGTTGGTGAACACTGCAAGGATTCGGTCACTGTGTTCTCTCTCTCTCTTCCTCTTTCTTCTTTGTCATCAGTTCTTCGAATTTCCCATCACGATTTAGAACATCTATATCTGCTTCCAATGACTACATATGTCGAAAAAAAAAATCATTCTGTATATGACAGAAAAAAGATGTTGAAATCTTGGCAATCTCCACCACGCGCCTCATCGCCCCAGGTGAGGATCATACCAGGCTCTGTGATAGCGACAAAGGCGGCAGAGGTTGCTGCCAGTTCCCGAACCTCCGTCAGACTCTCTTGTACGGACGATGCATCGCCGCCGTACTCGGGCACGCCCCAAGCCACGATGAGACCTTGTTCTGTGAGTCCTGCAAAAGCGTGTGCGGTGGCAGCGATGCAGCGGAAAGGCTGGCTCAGTCGCATGTCTGCCCCGTCAGTGGTCTGAACATGTCCCCACGTAATTAATAGTACTGTTGTCCTGTAGCAAAGCTGCAAAACCAGACTTATTTCCTTGTATGGCCTTGACTTTTTTATATTTCCAAGCATCAGGAAAGATACCTCCAGCGCTGTGATTACCCCATGCAACAATACGGCCATCAGAACGAAGAGCCGCAAAGGCACTATGGCTGGGGTGAATCTCAGTAATCTGTCGCAACAATGAGTTAACATGAGATGAGTCGCCTCCACTGTAAGGGCACCCCCACGTGATCACTGTCATGTCTTGCCGGATGGCTGCGAACGCGGCACTTGTCGCCTGGATGTCGCGTACCTCTCGCAGCTGCGAAGCGACACCTGAATCGTCGCCGCCATCCTCAAGATTTCCCCAGCATACGACGGTGTTGTCGTTTGCGATAGCTGCACATGCGGAGTCATTTCCCTGGATCTTCTGTATATTGCGCAAATGTTCACGCACACTGGCACTGCAACCTCCTGCTGCGGGATTTCCCCATGAGATCACCTGTCCATCAGCATGCAAGGCGGTAAAAGCCTGCGAGGCACGCTGGATGGCGAGCACATCGCTAAGTTCATGTTGTACTCGTGAGCAGTCACCTCCCATGAGTGGATTTCCCCAGGCTATGACATTCCCAGTGTCTAGAATGGACGCAAATGCCTTGTCTGCAGCTTGTATGTAATGTGCTACACCTTGCTGACCGGCGTCCAGCCCCCTGCCGCCAGAGTATGCTGAGCCTACGCAAGCAATCTCCCCGCACAGAGTGATCATCGCACATGCGTCCACATTGACCTGGCAAGCCGTCACTCGCCAGAAGACCGGATTTTGCAGTATGCGTGGCGGGCTATGCTCACCCCACACGGCTAATATATCATCATCTTGGAACCATGCGTAGACTGCATCCTGCGTTGTCACAAGCGCAGCGGCCGATGTGCAACGACTTGCAGGTCAAGTCCGTCGCTCCAGTTGGTCTCTGCGAGGATCTCCGCTGGACTCAGCAAAGGGCCGCGCGATGGCACCAAGGTGAAACATGGATGAGTTGTATATTGCCTGATCTTGTCTTTGAGTTGTAGCAAAGATGCAACGTGGTTGATTCTCACAGACACATGGGATCCGTCTAAGTGCCACACTTGGAATTCGATCTCGGCCTCAGCGTCACACGAAGGGTCATGAGCCTCCATTCCCAGGAAAAGGCCTTTGTTTCTTAGTGGTCGACTGCAAATGGTCCAAATGTCGCACCAGGTGCCCGATGGGCAACTCTGTTCTACTCGCGCTTACCTTGGAAGATATGCTACACGGAGGCCGATGGGCGATTACTCTATCCACATCGGTTTAACAATTTTCTTGGAGCCATCGCGTCACGACGAAAAACAAAATAATAGATGCACAAGAACCCTATTGTGTCACACCGTAATGTAACTCACACAAAGTGACAATTTCACATAACGGTGATTCTCACACCATTACACAAACAATGTAAACATGTAACTTTCCAAGCAGGATGTTGCACAGCGTAACAATTATCTTTATCCTGTTCATTCTCACTGTCAATCCACTTGGTGATACCTTCCCTTTCTAGAAACCCTTTTGCTTCTCTGATAGGCGAGGCAGCGATCCCATAGAGACTCACACTATGTCGAGATGCCTTCTAGTTCCCAGTCACCTCTAATCCTATCTAATGGGTCATGCTATCTCATTGTGTAGTGCCATACACCTCAGCTCATGGGCGTGGCGCATCTCAGTCTCTTCTAACGTCATCCGTAATGTTTGTTTGGCTGCTTCTGATTCCGATGCCATCTTGCTTGATAAGAACCTGATTCTGTCTTCGTTTATTTCACTTTCAACCTGATAGTGACGCTCCAAGACGTCGATTGCCAGCTGCTGTTGCCGATTGCCAGACGTCGATTCCAGTTGCTGGGACAGGTCTGATCTCAAAGTTCTTGCCCGGGGCAAAGAGAGCCGTGACTCTTTTATCATTGCTCCAAATGCTGTCCGATGCAAATCAGAGTCAGAATCTGATCCCATATTGATACGGTAAGCTCTTTTGGATGTTGCACCAGGTGCCAGAGGGGCGACTGCTATAGTCTGATGCACTTCCATAGATGCTGCACCAAGTGCCCGGTGGGCAAGCGCTATATCCCAAAGGATGTCTGAAATGTTCCTTAAGCCATCATGTCACGCAAAAATGGAAAACAGTATGCGACAGCGAAAGCGGTTGATTCTCACAGACACATGGGATCCGTCTAAGTGCCACACTTGGAATTCGATCTCGGCCTCAGCGTCACACGAAGGGCCATGAGCCTCCATTCCCAGGACGTCCTGATGCATCGATAGAAAAGGCCTTTGTTTCTTAGTGGTCGACTGCAAATGGTCCAAATGTCGCACCAGGTGCCCGATGGGCAACTCTGTAGTACCTCATATGGAGTAATTGCATCTCCCTGTTTGCTTTCGAGGCGTTTCCAATATTTATAGCAAATAGTTTCTAGTACTTAGGAAATAGATGGAAATAGCTTCTAGTATTTAGCAAATGGTCTTTAGAATTTAGCAAATGGTTACTACCTGTGCAAGAAATAGTTTCTGGATTTTACAGAAATGGCAAATAAAGAAGCCAACGCACTCCACAAAACATGCTGAAAACTGCGCAAGTACCAATGTTTTGCTAGGTGCTGTCCACAAAACACTGTAAATACCCTGATGTTTGCTACCAGAAGCAAAAAACATCGTAAAAACATGCAAAAACCGTGGTTTTGGACTTCCAAGGCGCAAAAATATCGGTATTTACGGTGTTGTTTGCTCCGAGCGTCTCGAAAAAAACGTGAAACCCCACCTATTTGACGATTTTTGGCTGCCTCCTAAATGAATGAGAAAAAAGATGTGTAGTCAGATGGTTGCAAGATGCAAATCACACTACCGCCACCACCACCACCACCACCACAACAACAACAACAACAGCAGAGCAAGCGGGCGACATTCTGTGCAACCCCAACCCTTGGGGCATCGCTAGTGTGCGAAGCCCTACAATAAACCAAGCATTTATAAAACCTCCAGGGCCTGCACCTCCAAGGCCTGCCATTCGGCTCAGGGCTGTGGTGCTCTGCGCCTTGTGTGTTTCCATGGAGATGTTCCTGGGCCGGTGATGGCTCCATTTTTTGGCGGCTGATATAACCATGGATCAGAAAAACTGAAATACCCTGGTTCATTATCACACAAAAATGGCTGCTACTTTTTCCACCCATTCCGATGGCCCAATACAGCGTTTTCACTAAACAGGTGCAACCTTTGCTTTTGCGAAGGTTGCTGCATCTGGCAAGTTCAGTGAAAACAGCCGTTTTGACCTTGCCATGATGCTGATGCGGTCTGCGTCGTTCTTCACAGCGCGAGCGCAGTGCCTTAGCAGAAGGAAATAAACATTGTCAATTGAATCATGTTCAAATGCTTAAATTTCAACGGATGGAAGGCTGCAACAAGATATATATAACAAGATGACACGGGTATGCACGCGTACTGTCAAGTACTCCTTGGTACACCATCTGATGTCCCAGCCGCCAACATCATGAACAGCCGCGCAAAGGCCAAGCGCTGCCGCTCACCGGCAGATAACGTGGCGGTCCAGTCCCGCACTTCCTGGTGCCGCGAAAAACAGATCATGTCAGACCACTCGGTCTGAAAATGGGCAGTATACCCCCAATTATGGCCACTTAATAGGGCTAATGATGACAAAGCGACGGATTTCGGGCTACCCAATTTTCAGACAAACCATGACAAACCATCTGAAGAGTCTTGGAGTGGCTTCGGATGTCCTGCAAGCCCCACTTTCGTAGAATTGGGCCCATCATGGCTCGCCTTGGCTTGGGCTATGCACAGTACTTGTATGCGTGGATTCACCATCAAGTCTGAACAGGTCGATTTGAGTTTGTCCGAAAATGGGTTTCCCATGGTTTCCCCAACACTCCCTAACATCCAGGTGGATCCTCATTTTTCATGATTTTCCCATATTTTCCCTATCATTCAATAGCCATAAGATCGGGGGGTATACACCATGCACCAAGCCATGGCATGCATAAGGTCAGGTGGCTTCAGAGCAAGCGTGGCTTGCACCTGCAAACCACACTTCTCAGCGCCATTAGAGTCGTCAGTGTGCGCAGGGTAGATGACAGCCTGATGCAGATGGATGGGAGCTTTCGCAATGGTTCTCCACCCAAAATTGGGAGGATTTGGGGGGATTTACACCCAATCTGTACTGATTCGTGGCCGTTAAGAAGGATAAGAAGGGAAATTAGATGGTGAATTCAGCAACTACGATTGGGGATGCGCCACAAGAAGTGGATACTTCCAAAATTGCCATTTTAAGAGAAAATTAATAATCCAGTGAAATTCCGGGGTATGAGTTCCAGCCTCCAGTAAGGTCCCCACGGGGAAGTAGGAGTTCCTTTCAGAGCTGTGGGGATGTCGCGAAGTTTGGCTGACTATCATTTAGCCTAGCTACCAAATGAAAACCATCACCAGATAATACAGTACATAAATACAGTACAGTACAAACATGTACAAACTACATCAAAATATCATCAAAATACGTGTGAACGAAGTTTGAACGAAGTGTGACCAAAATCTCCAGCTGTGGTTTCCCAGATTTAGGCACTGAAAAAAACATGTGTTTGTTCTTGGTGGGGATAAACACAAACTGATTAGGCACTGATTGCATACTGAGGCTCTGCGGTAGGAAAACCACTTCTGCACCAGGAGACTTTGCCACACTTCCCTTAGCACGGAGATGTCAAGACTAGTGTAGAGCCATCAATCTGTGCAGCGTCTAAAAATGGGGTATTATACCTCCAAGTTTGACAGGGCAAGTATATATAATATTATATAATGATAAACCGATAAACCATGATAAACCACCGAATGTTTGGGTATCAAATATTCAGGCAACCCAATATGGCTTTATGATGCTTTATGTGTTTTTGGAAGCCATCAAAGAGTTGCGACAAGCATGACTTTCAGTCAAAGTGGCTTCGCCCGTCAACCAAAGCCCTGCCATAGCGCGCAGAATGGATGACTTTCCAATACCTGCATGGGGCGTTCTACTTCAGATTTATGACGGATCATTCGATCAAAATCCCAGATGCAGAAAATCGAATAAATCCCAGGCCTGAGTTGCCAGTGATCAACACGCCTCACAAGTCATGGCTGTGGACAGGTTTTGCGAAGCAAGGGATTCTCAGCTGCCCACCCCGCTGCCCACCTTGTCCAGTGGCGCATGACAGAGTCACCTCAATTTCTTGCAGCTGTCAAAATTGAGCAGCTCAAGAGCTGCCATGAAACATCAAAAGAATGAATTGCCAAGAAACGTCATTTAAAACAAGTATGAGCAGTATACAGATGTATACAGTACAGTCGGCTCGTGATCTCACTTTCAATCTAAGGATTGCAGCAAATCTGCCAACCCTTATCAAACGATCATTCAATGTCCACTGTACACAAGCTATCTTCTACTCATTTCCCCGAAGCACTTTGGTACACATGGCTTGGAATCCTCAGTAAAAGCTGCCAAGGCGCTCCCGCCACAGGTGTCTTGCCACCAGGTGCATAGACCACCAGTGAATCAAAGCCAAAGGCTTCCGACACCTCCTTGGTTCGGCCGTGTCAGATGGGTTAAGAAAGATGGGCCAAAAGACTGCCGCAAATAGCAGATGTCTTTTGGGGGGAGTAAATCTTAGGACTACCAACAACTTAGGGCAAAATGATGATAAGTTTCAAATAGACACAGGGGATCATCAAGTTATGACTATCAATGGGCTGCACAGGAGTTGATTGGGATAGTAAAGCCTCGTTTACAAGTGCCCATCACTGCAAAATGCACAAAACAACATGACAACAGCAACATCATAGCATTTCTTTAACTGCTGGCACTCACACTTTGCATGGATACGAGAAAATATGATGGGTTCCTAAAATGGGGGTACCCCAAATATCCCCAAATCATCCATTTTAGTAGGATTTCCTTATAAACCATCCAGTGGGGTAGCCCATGGTAGCCCCATTTAAGGAAACCCCCATGAATGTCGCCATGACCTTGGCCTTGGCAAAGCCAAGACGCGCTGGCAACGAAACGAATGGTGGCATCCACTGGGGGAGCCGCATTGGCCTTACGCTGGGCCCGCGAAATCCCCAGTTGAGGGATGTGGTATTATTATCCCCATGATTTACAGGGTTTCAACATGTTTCAACCATCCGTTTGGTGATGCAGGATTTCGCTGGCCCATCCACAGATTATGTCTTTTACTTTCACATATTTGAACCATTGGATAGCCATGGATAGCCATGGATAGCCGAAAAAAATCCAGCTTCTGTCTTACTTTGATCTGCCTTGCCTCATCTGAGGCTTCCCAAAGCTGCCACAATCGCTCGCCATTGGCTTGCCTTAGTTGGTGTTTCTGACGTGGCACTTGTGGTCATGGTACTCTCAGGATTCACCTATGACCCAAAATGCCAAGGTACAGCTGCTTCAATTTGGAGAAAGAGTTGGCAAAAAAGTCCATCACCTCCAAATCTTCAAATTCCAAAATGGGTATGGGTCAATACCTATAGATACCATTTTTAGTGGGTTATTCACATCCATAAATCCCAGCTATGACTTGGGGTTCACTAGGTACCAGGGTTTTGACCCATCCCCAAATCACTTCGATTCTTCTCCATTGGCTGGGACTCATTGTGTTTTAAAGCTATGGTTTGCTGCCGATTGCCAGCCTTGGCCACTTGCATGTATCCTGTCTGGCACCGCACAGCATCCCCAAAATTCAGCTGACCTGGCACTGGAAATCAGCTGACACTGCTGTTTAACGTAAGAAACCTGCAACATCCTGCAACGTCCTGCAAGCTGCAAGCAGTGGTGCCCTGCCTGCCAGAATCTGAGGGCTCTGATATAACCACAGGATCACCTCAAGTGGCCCGCCATGAGTCATCCATTGGGGACACCATGGGGACACCATGTGGCCCGGCCATCCCTCAGCTGCCAGCAATGGGGAAGAAGTCGATGATGCCCAAGGTGGTGGTGAACAGCATGTTCACCAAGGCCTTAAGGTGTCCACATCGTCCGCTGGAGCTATCTGGAGCTGGCGGCTGCCAAGGTGCGTTGTATCGAATGGCCTCAGTGGATAGCGAGGCTATGCGAGGCTTGAGATGTTTCAAAGTGCTGTCAGAAGCACTTGAAACTGTCGAAGTGAAGAAAATCAGAGAAGATAAGTACATTATTGAAAGATATTGAAAGAGTATTATGCATTGAATAACACTGAACACTCTGTGAATGCGGCATCGATGTGAGAGTTGAAGAGATTTCGCGAACGGCTCTCCTCAACCTGGTCGCCATGCGCAAGGGCGACAGGTTCCGCATTTTCACCTGGTGAGTCACCAGGAAGCGATGAGATGTGATGGGTACCCTCTGGTAAACTAACATAACTATGGAAAGATCCACCATTTTTAATAGGTAAACCATCTATAAATGGGCCATTTTCCATGGCTATGTTAAATAACCAGAGGGTAGCTGCATTGATTTTTTCAGACTGCGCTGGTTGAAAGTCTGTACCAGGCATTGGATCTGTGTATGCTTTATAATTTTGGTGCAGGCATCTTGTAAGTCCAAGACGTATGCGCGTGAGAGAATATCGAAAGGTTGCTCCTCCAAAGCTGAGAACTGTCTTTGCCGTTGAGTTTGGTGCAAAACTGCATGGTTGGAGGAAGTCCAGCCTGTTTCAAGCATATCCTTGAAAGCATCCACAAGCGCATTTCCAAACATGCCTCAATCGTTACCAAGTCAAATCTAGAAGTTCTACAGCAGCAATGCTCGGACCGGCACTAATCGATAAGAGGAGACGAAGGAAGGCCATCCCAATGCACGTCACGACAAGCATTGGACCTCCTAGCTGTATCATGACCTCCAGCTCTCGGTTGATTGTGATCATGATACATCATTCGATATATTCCAACTCAATCTGCAGAACTTTGGTTCGGTTGTCGGTTGACTCTCTCTCAAAACCCAAATAGTGTCAGGATGTCTCAGGATGTGTCAGGAGTCTATGATACATCTGATACTGATTTAAGGCACGAACTCCTGCCCAAGCGACCATTCCAAACCTTAGCTCTTTCGTGTTCCACGCTGATCATGCTGGCATTATCTGGCATCCACAAACATGAGCCACAGCTCCAATTTCAAATAAGCAGCACAGCAGATAGGAATCCTGAGAAAAGGATGTACATCATGTTGGAAAACCTCAGGTAGCACTTAGAGTGGCACAGCTTGGCACTTAGAGTGACAATGCAATGCACTAATCCTGTTTTTCTGCAGGCAAGTTGCTGCTCAGCGGAGTCACTAATGCGCTGGTCGGGATTGTCAATGTCCCGCTTCTGGAGCCAAGGTGTGTGAGACATCGCATGACTGACATATCCCATGAACATCCTGAAGAGTCTCAACTTCTCACAATTAATTTATCAGCAAAACATTCCAACCTCATCATCCATCTTGAGTTTGTAGTAAGCTTGCCCTCCTCCTGAACAATTGCAGGCAAAGCAAACCATTTGCAAGAATCAAACACACAGCTGAATATAGTAGGTTCTGCCGTTCTGCCGTGCATTCTGTTGCCCAGCCTGCAATATATGAGGATACCATGCAGTTTGTGATGTAACCTTGGCGTAGTGAAAGTATGTGAAAGTCATGAGGCCGTCCAAACCAACATCTTTGCGCCACAAACCTGGAGGCTCTGTCTAAGACCCCTCCAAGTTACTTTGCATCGAGGAGGAAAACCACCTCGGCTCCGAACCAAACATGTCGTGTAGACACGAGCGTTTCATGCCCGCTGCGAATACCATTGGACATCATTGGACCATGGGCCAAGCCACGCTTGAAGCATCGGATCCTCAGTCATCGGATCCGCCATCCCTGGATGTTGATAGGAACATCTTCAGAAAACATCGGTTTTAACAGCCAAATATGTCCAAATCATATGCAAATATCTTCAAATTTCATCATATAGCCTACGAATATCAAAACATATCCAAATATTGGCTTAAACTCCATGGTGTCCGATGATTTCCAACCCAGGCACGATAATCAGAAACAGCGGAGCTGTTGCTATTTGCCAAGCCAGCATGGAAAATAAGCGACTGTAGACTAGAGATAAATCCTTGGCGCTGATGGTTTAAAACATCCCAAATTTTGGCCATGAAGATGTTTGGTATTCATGTTATACTAGCCACTTTGACAGCGATTATCACTATTTAGGCAGTACCACCCGGTTTATCAACATTGATAAAACAATATAAAACATGTGATTAATCCGAGCTTGAACATTGCCAACGATATCGGCAATGTCATGAGGGTGCCGAGAAAACAAACATGTCACACAAGAATCCAAGACACCTTTGAAATTGGAAGTGCAACCACTGCATTCGTCAAGTTGGCTGTCAGCGACGAGAGAAAATTTGCAAAAAGCCATTCTCTTGCAAACCAATGTGCTATTGTCAGGAGGCAAAGACCTCTTGATATCCATCTGTATGAAGGATTGGTGAGCCAACCCTGAGAAATGAAGTACACGCTCTGGACGCCCGAAAGATCTCGCAGAAGGGCCGTAAATGCAGAGTACTTGTCTTCTGATCGTTTTCCTTGTAAACGCAGAGTCTCTGAGATGCGAGTGTGGCGGGCGATGCATTGCATCACGAACACAAAGGTCAGATTTAGCGCAATCAGGAGAGGAACGAGACACAGATTCTGCCAGCTACCTCCAGGCTGGACAAGATGCAGTATCAAATTGTCAGCCTTCCGAAAGGTTACGTTGAATTGGAGGAACATTCCGCCATCAGCTGTGTCGCTTCTGTTGCTAAACGCAGGAATGAAATGCTCCAGCAAAGCTGGAGTGACAGAATATTGGCCGACAGAGAAGGGCAGGAACATTGCAAACCCTCAAGGCCAAGGCCAAGCAGTACTATTCAAGATCCTTTAAGATCTTTAAGAGAACTTGCATTAATGCTGGCTCCTAGATCTAATGTGATCCTACTGTAACTCCTAGATGGAACATGATCTTGGCTCGCAACCAGCACCTTTCATTAAGAAGGCAGTGAAATATGACTGAAAATGGTCTGTACTGTAACGCTCGTCCAAACCAATCTGAAGGAATCATGGGATTCCACATCTTTTTGTGACTTGTGGTAGTTGCATTGGCAACTTTGATGCTTGTCGACAATGACCATTAGACAGCACCAAACAGCATGGGGTTTCGTTCCGTTTCGGTACCGAAGGGTCTGCATTGGGCCAAAAAACCGTGGAGACATGTCAACCTTCACCGACCGATAGGGTTTCAAGGCCATCTCAGCAGAGTGGAAATTCTACCCTCTGGTAAACTAACATAGCTATGGAAAATCACCATTTTTAATGGGAAAACTCACTATAAATGGTCATTTTCAATAGCTATTTTGACATAACCAGAGGGTATCATACTCTGATACTCTGGTTCGTCCACCCGAACAAATCATGATCGCACATTTCCTGTCATGCAGTACTGAGTGTTGGTTTAAACATGTTGACAGGAAAAAATCCGATCGTCACTTGGGGTCAAAATCTGTGAACCACTGGTTCTACATCCCCATCTTGTTGGGGATAACGGATATCGCCATTATGGGGGGGAACAGATGAACATATCTGAGACATTCTGAGACCACATTATGACATTGTATCCTTCGGAAATCAACCTTGGCAACGGGAAACCCCTACCCTCTGGTAAAGTAACATAGCTATGGAAAATCACCATTTTTAATGGGAAAACTCACTATAAATGGCCATTTTCAATAGCTACGTTAAATTACCAGAGGGTAACTGCCCAGTGCCACGGAGGGTATGGCACCTCAAGGCCCTCACCGCTCAAGCCGAGGCCTTGGATTTGGCGAGATTCATCACCCAATTTTCAAAGGGTCAACCTGCAGCACTGGGTGTAAAGCTTGGCAAGGTGTGATGTTGAGGATCCAATCTGCTTGGCGCAAAATCAGCAGCCTGGCACATCACGACTGGAAAATCTTGTGGCTCCAAGGTCATTGCAACGGCTGCCACCTTTGCTGGCTGTCTGCAGGGGGTGAAGCTTAAGCCTTCTGGCCTCAGGCGCGACACGCACCGACCAAAGAGGTGATGCACCAGCGGAACCAGTGGATCTTAGGGGTATATCCCATCATCATGCGCAAATCCGCAGATAGATCACTGGATACATGATATACATGATATACATGATATTCATGATATGCATTGTCTGCCTTCTCTCTTGACCCACGGGGATCCGACACGTGACTCGCAGCCTCACCAGCGGCAGTCTGCAGCGGTGAGCGGCCTCGGAGTCTCCCGGCCCGACCCATCCCGGTGATGCTTAGACTTCGACAAAGCACGCAGAGCTCACGAGCAGTTGCACGCAGCTCTGCAGTGGCCTAGCTCAGCTCAAAAAAAAGTGGGGCAGTGAGTACCAGCCTTGAACGGAGGAAATAGATGTATTGTATATTAATAAATTATTAATATTATAAGAAATAATAGTTTTGGTTGAAATAAACCATCAACAACCATCAACAACCATCAACAACCATCAACAACCATCATCAACCATCATCAACCATCATGAACCCATGTTTGGAGGCTTTTTTGGTACAATAAAAATTGACCCATACCCAAGTGAAGCTGATCCTAGACATAGGCAAGCCATAGGCAAGTCCCGCCTCTGAGATCTCCTGTTGCAGCGTACTTCGAATCTCAGATGCCATGTGTTCCTTGTACTCCTTCAAGTGAGCCTTGCCAATCAGATGGTCTCACACGCTACCACTGAAATCACACAAAATCATGGCAACGTTTTTTTTGCTAAAGATGATTTTCAAAAAAATAGCTACACAGGTTGACCAATCAACCCAATCAACGAAACCAGATTTATCCAGATTTTAATCACATATCAAAGCTGATCCATTTCCCTTCTCACTCCATGCCTCCAGCGCGAGCTTCATTGGTGCGAAGCACGCAGCCTCGCTGCCGGCATGGGTCAAAATTGGATTCCAAACAGTGGGATTGTGATACCCTGGGCTTTTAGTTTTGACCCATGAACCATATATACACATTACCGTTATATGCTGGTTTCTTGAAATATCTTGAAATGGGTACCCCAAATCATCCAAGTCATTAGACCATAACTTTATATTGAAACCTATGGTGACTTTTGGGATCCCCCATGACTTGAGACACCTCCATATATTCCTAATTTTCTTGGTTCACTCCCAGTCCTTTATGGCGCAATGTGGCATCCTCTTAGCTTGGATCCACAATAGCAGCATATCATACCAATTTGATCCAATTTGCGGTTCGTTCTTGTGGATACCCCCACTTGGGATTATTTTTGCTTATTCATGTCATAGCCCCCTACTATGACAGGAAAACAAGCAAGGGCATCAATATTAATTGATAATGGGATTCTACTATTTTCCTACAAATTTATATGATGAATATTTGAAGGAAAATAGTAGGATCCCATCATTGAATAGTATCCCAACATCCCAATTTGTCCCATATTTTCATGGGTTTTTCACAACCTCCCAATGGTTGGAAGCTCTGGAGGCTCCGCCTCTGCAGCCTCCGCTCGTCGCATGGCGGCCTCTGCCGCTTCTCGCAAACCTTCCACTGCAGCCTGGAGGAATGAGGGGATGGGCCCCAAATTGATGACCAGTTCATAGATTTTCATAGAGAAAAAGCATGGGAAAACCCTAGAGTTTGGTGGAAATCACATGAAATCACCTTATTTCAGACGTCCTCCCATTTTGTAAGGCGTGAACAGGTTCCCGAAATCATGACATATCACGACTCTTAGGCCAAAACGGGCTAAACGGCAGGGCAAAAACCAGGCTCCAAACCAGCAGCATCTCTCTTTCACTGCTGAAGGGATCTTCGCTGCTTGCGCTTGCCTGTCACATGCTCAGGATTCAGCGCCGATGCGGGCAAGTCTCGTGTGCAAATGAGAGAATCAACGTCGCGGTTCACGGATAAAAGATTAATGCAGTTAATTATAGAATGTTATAGATGAAGTTTTTAAGAAGAACCTTCCAAGCTTGAACATCTTGAATCAAACTGAGACGCTTCCTTGCCCAAGGCTCTGGGAGATGTTTATACCCAAGCCATCCCGAGCCTGCATATCAGGCGCATCGGACTCCGTAGACTTCGAGCCTGCCTTTGGCTGGGCCAGCCTGGTGACGTGAAAAACCATCGATTCTGGGTGATTGATAATTTTGAACCAGGCCCATTATAGCCAGGATTTGGCTATGACCTAAGAAACCGACACGGTCCGCCGATGTAACTTTGCCTTGGCGCAAATCGCTGCAATCTGACAGCTTGTGCAGCTCGCGCTCAGAAAGCATTGCTCAAGAGTCATTACTATCCAGCAAATGCTTACAGTAGCTGTCCGAACGACTCTTGCTCCTCATTATGTCCTCCATCCTTCCAGTTCACTGGTGAATAGGGATTTCCCAGCTAATGGATTGTGATACTCCCCAATATATTGGATAGTGTAATTCCATATAATTATCAATCAACAGTGGTTTTGAACATGGCTTAAATACGGGTTTGTCTGAAAATAGGGCCAAAATTTGGTGATTTTCTCGTGTTCCCTATTGAATGACTATTTTTTGGGTACACCATGGTATACTACCAATTTTCAGACAGACCCAAATATCATATCAAGTGATATCCCATATCCCATCAATATCATCCCCATTTTCATATGTCCCATGAATATCCCATTCTATTCTCATTTGAAGGTGATGTTCCCCTGTTTATGATGGATAGATGGTTAAATCACTATGTTGGATAGAATTTGAATGATATCCCATAAATATATCCCATGAATATCCCATGTTTACACCACTTTTGATGGTTAAATCACCATGTTGGTGACGCCAGCATCCACCACTCAGTCTGCGACATCAATCCCATGGCTGGACACCAGCTTTCGCACGCGTTGCACTGCGCCAGGCCCATGCCTGCGATTTTCTAAGACGCCTCTGGATGCGGTAGGACCCAGGGAAGATTGGACTGTGTATATCATGTATTATTAGATTATATGTGTATATTATGTGTATAAATTGATGTATATATTAACACATATTATATATATATATACATATATATATATGCATATCCTGTAACTCCATATCCATTAAAAAAGTTTAAGTTGGAATTCGGAGGAGGCTGGAAAACCCTGGTTTTGCCAACCCTTCCAAAACCTGTAAATGTCGCGTGAAAACCAGTAGACATTCCCTACAAATACTTGAAAAAAGCCGTCGTCAGAAAGAATCATTTGTCAAACCGAATCAAAACCGGGTCTTGACGCGCAAAAGCCGGATTTCGCATTTTTCAGGATATGGTTGTGCACGGTGACTGTGAATTATATATATATGTTATTATATATGTGTGTGTAGTGTGTATGTATGTGTGTATGTATGTGTGTATGTATGTGTGTATGTATGTGTGTATGTATGTGTGTATGTAAGTGTGTATGTACGTATGTATGTATGTCTGTGCGTGTTACATTATATAATATGTAGTTTATATTAGTTTATACAATTATACGGTACGTTGATAACATGACATCACATAAGATTATATATATATAATCAAATGCAATCCAATGTCCAATCTAATCTATGATATACCGTGCATCATCATTATGTATATTTTCAGCTGTTGTTCGGCCGGTAGATAGGAGAGACCTCCCAGGCCTCTCTCCGGCGTCCGACTGCATAGAAACTTGGGTTGTGCTGCTTCGGAGGCCTCAGGCGTCCATGATCAATGCCATCCCCCCAGTATTCACCAGCCGCTAGATGGTTTCAGGTGGTGTTTAATATTAGGGGGAAAAGATCATGTTAAAATCGAATTGTGTTTCAATTGCTGTGATGATGTGCAAGGATGCAAGCTTGATGTTTCAAAAGATGCCTTGAAGCCTTGAAGCAACACTATCCAAACTCCAGCAGTCATCTGGGAATGGGTCAAAATTGAAGACCTGGGACCACAGATTTTAGCCTATTCTTAGTATTAACCATCGAACTATTGGGGTACCCAATTTTGACTCATACCCATCTGTTGGGCGGAACGGTGCAAGATTTTTCGCTTCACGCTGCACTGGTGGTTTCACCAAAGTTTTGGAGCTTTTCCTGCAGCTGAGTGAACGAGGGAGGCCACCTAGAAGATGCCGTGCGTTTCAATGCAAATCGGTGAGTCTGAAAATGTGGTATATCATGGTATATCATGGTATATCCCCCAAGTTTCCAATCTAATTCAAATGATGATGTCAATGGATTTAGAGGTAAAGTACCATATTTTCAGACAAGCTGAAATATTCAGCCAAGGAACCTCTTCAGGTCTTGCTTTTAGACTCATTGCTCCAATTGCTATTTCCAACTTCTCTCCTGCGCCGTCATCCAAAGCAAAGTCTTTGGCTGACTGCAGGCAGAACGTGACTCTGAGGAAGCGACTTGCTTTTTGTGGACGGCCCTCCAAGCATGCCAAGAAGGATTCAGCCCACGCCTTCCACAAAGGATCCAGCAATTCAAGATGAATTCAGGCAACATGGGCTAATTGCACGGAACAGGAAAACATCCGAGATTGGACTAAAAGAAGAATTGCATTAAAAAAAAGTACCATCAAATCATACAGAGAGAAGAAAAAGGACAATGGCAATTGAGCATTTCTCTCTAATTTCTCTAATCCCACCCTTGTTTGAAGATCGACCGAATCACCGCCTTGGTCAGGTCATCCTTCTCTGTATCAAGCTCAATTGTAGACACCGCTGCGCCCTTCCTGAGCACGACTTGGCAAAATGATGGTGAACTGCAGTGGCTAAAAATTCTGAACTCCAAAAAATGATAAACATGGGATGCTCGAATACAGCCAAGTACCACATTGATGGTCTCATTGTGGGCAATTGGTACCCCAATTTTGCGCAATACCCCACTCATTGTGGCAAGCTCAGCCTTCATTTCCCCTGTTCACTACATTGCCAGAACTACCAACCTATGGAATTGTGTGTGAAAGCATGACCCGACTCCACAGCCGTACAAGCTTCAGAACTGACAGAATGGGAACGCCAATCATCATCCCCACTGGGCCCCAAATGAAGCCAAAGTAGTTGATGGTCAACAGGACCCAAACCTCAACAGGCTGCAACTACTACGTACTAAGTTACAAGGATGCACTAGGATCCACTACTGGTGCCACTACGTGTCAGTAATTTCGAGAAAATCCACGGGTGACTGAGCACATGGCTGGGTGTACCTTCATCTCCGTATCTGCTTGGATTAGGGATGTCTCAATGATGTTGTTGAAAACGATTTTCATCGCCTGAGCAAGCGAACGAAACCAAGCAAACAAGCGAAATAAGAATGAGGGGAGTCCTCCAACATTTACATGTCTGAACACGAGGCATCAGCATCATAAAGACACAACAACTCCGCACTGTCTGTGTCAGACTAGGTGTAGTAGGTGCATTCTCCTTGAGCCAGGATGCTAATTGTCCCATTGTTGCCTTCATCAAGGTGGTGGCTGGAGATGCCAATCGGCCGTCTAACAAGATCACTGGCATGGGAATGATGATGGCAATGATGGTACCTGGAGGCTATCGAAGGTCGGAAGTCGTGACATTTTCTCGAATCCACCGTGCATAGTGATTTCGTGAGCAAACTGGGTTGCTTGCCGACTTCGGGAACGTAATTGAAGAAGAAGGATACGATGCCAAAGAAAATTGCCTGGGATAGGCTGCAGACAGTGAGGGCAATGGACTGACAGGGGCATGATCAATGTGGACCCTGAAGCTTCGCAAGTGTAACAATGACAACAATGACATGTCATGCAGCAAGAGTGACCAAATCATTGTTCAGCAACAAGAAGAGCGCGGAGACCTCAAAAGAACAAGCTCCAATGACCAGAATCGACATGGAACAAGATGTTCGTCAGAGTTTGTGGTGCACTCTCAACCGAGGCTGTCACAGAGAAGCCATACAATAGCGACACCAGGGTCTTCTTCCACAAATAGCTTCTGACCTAAGAGAAATCCAAGTGCTCAAACACACAACAAATCACAGGCCACGCGATAAGATGATCAAAGAGCCCAACAAGATTGCTCACTTTGCCACCGATCGGAAGAGGATGAAGGAGTCCGAAGATCACATAAAGCAGAATAATGATAAGACTGACCACACACCTCGGAACACGATATATCCTGCATATACCATGCCAGAAATTTGATTATGTACGAAGTATATATGCACAAAGTGCAAATTCACAAAAACAAAATTCAAACAAATCCCAACATGTTGCAGTTTGGGGGTGAAAGGCTGGTCTTCCTTCTTGCATTCCAAGCGTCGAGGATACATCTGATATGATTTCCTCGACGACTGCTGAGACCAACGCCTGGCCCTTGTCCAACAAATGAGAGTAGAACCTGCGGCTATTCTGTGCAAGGCTTCGCACATCTTCGATCTTCGGATCTCAATTTGATCCATACCCGTTCAAGGGTGACATGTAGAATAAAAAACATTAAACAACTATGATGTCTGTATACTGCCCCAGTCCTGCTGTGGAAGACAGCTGAACAATAACGGATGATACTTGATGAAATCAGATGAACATGTTGTCCAATGGCAACAACAACTAGAAGATACTAGAAGCATTTGTCTCAACTGACTGCAGGCTGGGAACCCATTTAAGTGTGCATCCGTCTGCTCCCCAAGCTGCAGCCGCAAGGACAGCTTCCGAGTGATGCTTTCCAGCCATGCCACGAGGTTCGCAGCCCCGAGGGAGTAGCTTGACCAACCTCATGGTTTTGCCCAACCGTCCTGGGGGTGGTTTCCTGCCTTGGGGGTACCCCGAAACGGATGATCTATGATGGACAATCCCATTAAAATGATTTAAAATGGATGATTGGGATTGATCTTAAAATATCTTAAAATGGTATCCCCAATTTAGGAAACCCCAATTTGGATTCACTTGAAGAATTGATCTGTACATTGAATATATTGAATGCCAGTGCCATCAAGTAGTCGCCAGGTTTAAATCCTGAACCCTGCC